GGATATAGCTCGCTAGCAGCCTCGCACCGAGGACCTATCCACGTCATCATTTACCCAGAATGCTTTGTGTGCATATAAAATGGCTCCGTCCGTGTTAAAATATATTTTTAATAATGTACAAAACTAAACAGCCTACAGTATTTTTAGTCTTTATTTTACAGTTAAAATATATGTTTATCAAATAAAGTCTAATGTTACAACTAATCATGGATCCCTTTAAACTCAAACACTCCATATTTGAGAAAATAAAATCAAAAACAACTTCAGGAATCACTAAACTTTTCATAGCATCATAAATAAATTTAACTTGGTAATCTTTTTAAAAATACCCATGGTTGTAGATGTTTTTGTTAGTATTTAAAAAGCTGTTTCCTGAATCACAGCAGCGCTCCTTCAAACTCTGTCAAAATTAAGGTTTTACATTAATTTCCATCACTTAAGACAACCTTATGGGAATGGAATTTCTGACTTTTAACTAATTTTATTTGAGTATTAGAAGGTAATATTTTTTTTTTGGCTTCAAACGTGATCTGCAAAATACCGTCAGACAAATCATAACACTGTAATAACCTCAGCTGATGAAGTAATGTAGCTTTTTACTGAGAATTAAAGGTCGAAAAATAAAGGTCTAATCTAATGTAATCTTAATTCAGATGAACTCTGTCCTTTAGTTGTGAATGTTTTGATTCTAAACATGTTTCGTAGCGATGTTCTCAAAGATGCCATCATTACTTTTCAACAGATAAATTACATGAAATGCAGGTGAACTGTTACTGAAGTTATTCTTTTTTTGAGAGTTCATGTTAAGCAGACATTTAATGTGACAAACACCGCAGATTATCAGTGATTCGTTTCCCATCCAAGTCATCTCCACTTTATCACGCTTCTCCTCCTGCAAACTTTGTCCTAGAGCTGCCATTGTAATTCATATATGTAAAGCTCCTGTGCCAAATGATGGCTATGCCTTTTGGTGCCTGTACAACTTAGTTTTTGAAATATTAATGTTTAATAATTTATAATGGGAGTCAATGGAGTTTGTATTGGTCCAATACTGCCCCCTGCTGTACCTACTCAGTACTGCACCATAGTTTCATAATATTTAAACTCTGTAGTTAAGTGTTTACAATACTAATATGTTAGTATTTTGATGTTTTACTATAATATTGTCATAATATTGTTTTATTGTTATAATATATTGCAGTTTAGTGTAAACAATTGCATTGGCAATGTGGCCTCTTTCAGCACACATACAAACCAACTCCTGGCAATCCACTCTGCCACAACTCCAGTGGTCTCATGGTTAGTACCATGGGCTTTCATGTGGGAGATCAGGGTTCAAAACCCAGCTACAGCAACTTTAACTAAAATTCTCTTAAACTTCATAATGTCACACAATTACCCTCATTACAAACACCTGCTGACTTGACAGGCACAAGCTGGTATAGAAAACACATTTGAACTTGGTCACACTTCATTCTGCAAGTCCAATGCTGCAGGTAAAGTCAGGCTGCAATGATATGCTACACTTGTTTTTACATCGTAAAAACCCATGTCTAGTTATTATTATTATTATTATTGTTATTATTATTATTATTATTATTGTTATTATTGTTATTATTATTATTTTGCGTATGTGTCTTCAGCCTCTGATTTTTTTACTCGAATGTGCAAAAGGAACATTCTACTTTCAGCAGCGACCCCTGTCTGTCAGGAGGGATGAAACAACTGAAGAAACAGAATGTTTCTCAGCTTTAAAAACACTCCTGATGATAGAGGACCAGTTTGGTGCAAGAAGACCAAGAATCTCAGGAAAATCATCAAGAAGAGACTGAAAATAAGAAAATAACTGAGCTAGTTTTTTAGTGTTAACCCACTCGTCTGAACCTGTAGTTAATAACTACTGATGGAGTTGATGGACTGGGAACCTGTTTGACTAAATCTTGTGTTTTCTCAGCTGCTCTGTGACCCAGCAGGTGGACTCTGAAGAGAACCAGCAACACAACAAGAAAGAAGAACGGTCTAAGAAACCCAGAACAGAGATCATCCATGTGACTAATAACAAGACCATGGAGAACCAGTGTGCACAGCAGTAGAACGTCTGAAGAACAGTCCTGTCTTCTGGATGAAAGAATCTGACTGTAAAATACTTTATTTTGCTTCCTTTTTGACTTTTATCAGTTTTTTTCAAATCCCATTAAAATAGTTCCAACATAAAATCCTGCCTTTTTTTCTTACTTGACCTTTGACCCCAGCAGCTGAAAGGATGAAATGTTCTGATGTTCAGTCAGATTTACATTTCAGTGACAGGGATGTGTAAGATTAACAACACTGACATGTAACAATGTTGAAATACTTGGAGAAAAGGTTATAATCAGAATATTTAACAGAAAATACACATGTAGCTCCTACAGTGGTTTTTGTTTCTCTATAAAAATACATTTTAAAGCGGGGCAGAATGCATTTTTTCTTTTGGAGTTTGATGTAGTCTATTTTTGTTTTGATGCAAATAAAATGAAATAAGATTGTGAAGTGTATGTTTAATATTATGAGGCAGCTCAAGGCAAACACAACCAGGACCGGAGTAGAGTAAAGATATTCATATTATTAGCCAATTCAGTTTTCATTATTTAGTTTGTTTTAGTTAATTATTTGTTTTAGTTAACTATAATAACCCTGGTGTTTAGTCAGCTCCACATGGCTAAAGCTAAAAAAATAAAAAACAAGGAAATTTCCAGTACTTCACACAGAAAGTAATAAAGCAGAACTACTGTACACACTTATGTTACAGCAAACTTACCAACATTTTTACTTTTAAAATGGCTACAAAATCAATAAAAAATGTTTGTAGGTATTAAAAGGAAATGTTGATATTTTAGTGGAGGTACTCTCCGGACCTGCAGGGGGCGGTGTTGTCTTCACCTCGGTTTGTGAGCGGCTGATAAAGCAGGAAGGAAAACCACTGAGCTCTATGGACAGCTCACTGCTTACTTCAGGAGTGAAGGAACACAGGTGGACAACAAACCAACAGGTGAGTTCTCTTCACCTTATCACCGTGAGCTCCGTGTTCAGCTAACAGTTAGCATGAAGCTAACACTCAGGTGTTTCCTGAACTAATCATGTGGGGTGAGGAGAAGGAGGTTCGGTCTGACTTTAATCTGGGACAGAAGAATCAGCTAAAGATGCTTTAAAAGCTCCCAACAGCCGTTTAATCCAATCAGGTTCTGTTGTTCGGTTCTGTTGTTCTGAGTCAAGCCAGGGTTCTGCTCCAAAGTCAGACTGAATTAAGATCCTCTTCACAAACTATGAAATCAAAACTTTAAAGATTGTTCAGCTTCAACGACTTTATTCTGGTAGTTTTCCACATGTTGATGTGCAGGTACGCACTGAAGGTAAACACTAACCTGAATTTACCAGAAGCTTCTCTGCTTACATCACCTCACTATTTATAACTTTAATGTCTACTCTGTAGGTAAACAAACACATTTCAGCTGTTTCTATAAGTAAATAAACACATTTTAGCTTTTTCTATAAGTAAATAAACACATTTTAGCTGTTTCTATAAGTAAATAAACACATTTCAGCTGTTTCTGTAGGTAAACAAACACTTTTCAGCTGTTTCTATAAGTAAATAAACACATTAGCTGTTACTCTAAGAAAACAAACAAACTTCAGCTGTTTCTGTAGGTAAACAAACACATTTTAGCTGTTTCTGTAGGTAAACAAACACATTTTAGCTGTTTCTGTAGGTAAACAAACACATTTCAGCTGTTTCTGTAGGTAAACAAACACATTTCAGCTGTTACTCTAAGAAAACAAACAAACTTCAGCTGTTTCTGTAGGTAAACACACAT